GTGCGCCGGAGCGCGTGGGCAGAGGGAGAGGCTGCCTGCCCATCCTTGCCGCTCTGTGGGGGAAGCGGCGCAGCGCGCGCAGCACGGGGAGGACCAGGATCGGGGGAGCGTAAGACCCGGGTTTGCCAGGACTCGGGTCCGCCATCGTTTTTTGACGACCGCGCCTCGGATTTTGACGAGGAGGAGTTTCGTGGGATGTCTGCAGCGGGAGGCCTCGTCAAAATGCAGGCTCGGCCTCGTCATTTTTTTGACGACCTCGTCGGGGATTTCCAAGTCCCCTGTACCCAGGTCTTACGTCCCCTTGATAGGATCGGGGGCGGCAAAGAGGCGGGTGATGATTGGGGGGGGGGGGATATCATGGCGGGGGCCATGATGTTTCCCCAGATTTCATGGCGCCTCTTCTTGTTTCACTACGTCCCTGCCCCCCCCCCCGCTGGGCCGCGCACGTGCCGTCGGTCATGATTTGCACCCCCCCCCTCTTGGACACCCCCCTCTTGGCCGCTCCGATAGTAGGAGGAGGAGGAGGAGGAGGAGGAGGAGGAGGAGGAGGAGGAGGAGGAGGAGGAGGGGGAGGCCCCTGGAGGCCAAGCGTTTGAAACGCCTCACCGTCGCGTCTTTCTTTTTTTCCTGGCGACGAGGAGAGGTCTGGGCATGCTGCTGGCTGCTGCCGGCGGGGGGCACCCTCGCCTCAACCTCCGCAGGAGCCGCAGCCGCAGCCGCAGCGGCGGCCGCCGGCGCGCGAGCGGCGGCGGCGGCGGCGGGGCGCGCAGGAGCCGCTGACCGATGGGCGCTGCGCGCTTAGAAAGCGTACGGGGCCGGCCGACGACGACGACGACGACCAAGCAGTGGCGAAGCCTCCTGGCCTCTTGGGGGCCTCTTGGGGCCCTACTCGGAGCGCCAAAAATTCAAAAAGGAGTCCGCACGGAGCGCCAACAGTTTATGTTTATGGTGCTTTCCTCCTCCTCCTCCTCCTCCTCCTCCTATTCCTTCCCTCCCTCCCTTCCCGTCTTCCTGCCAGCCTGCGCTATCACGGGCTCCCTGAGACCTCCCCTGCGGCCCCCTCAGGCCGTCCAGGGCGCGTCTTGGGCCGGCTCGGGGCTCTCTTTCGGGGGCCGTTCGAGGCGTTTTGGGTTGAGTTTGTCAAGCAGTGGCGAAGCGTTCTGGCTCGCCTATAGCCCTGCCAAACAGTGTTCTAAGAACCTTTTATGGTTCCCACGAAAGGTTCTCGGAACATTTCTGGCGGAGTCTTGTCTTGTTTTATCACATCGGGTTTATTTTATGAGAACATTGTCTTTGTTCTTAGAACATTTGTGGGTTCTAAGAACATTTCGTGGTAGGACTAGGAATGCTGGGACGGTCGGTCCCTGCTCAAGACGACGACGACGACGACCGATGGGCGCTGCGCGCTTAGAACGCGTGCAGGGCCGGCCGGACCCTCGTCGTGGGCGCAAGACATAACCCACAAAGGTCTTTAGAACCCCCCCCCCAATTTGTGAAGTTGATTCTTCTTTTCCGGCGGCCTCATTGACGGAATGGTGCCCCACCAATAATTAGAGGGAAGTCGAGTATTTTTGTTCCCCGCGGCGCCCGCTGCCTCTCCTGGAAAACTTTGGTTCAGACACTTGGCGTTCAGAAGCTTTATCCTGAAAATTGTAAGTCGGGCGCGCCTCCCTGAAGAAGGGATATGCAAGCATTCTAAACATACTCTGGGACAGTTTGTTATTTTTATGTTCTGGTATTGTTAGATATCTTTGTTTGACTATTTCTTATTTTCCTCCCGACCGAGAAGAGCTGTTGCAGCTCAGGCTCCGCGCGGGCCCTCAGAAAATCCATCCTGTGTGGCATCGACAGTACAGCATTATGGCGATTTCTGCAGTGTCCACACCGGCGAAATCGCCATGTTGGCCGCGGGCGCGCCGACCAGGCGTCAGCAGGAATTCTGCCCGCAGTGCTAGGCAGACGACTTTGAGCAAACTCGCGAATCAAAGCGACGCAAATCCTATTGCAATCCTTACCAGAAGATGCCTACAAAGCCTCCCGCGTGCTGGGTAACCCACAATAGATGTTTCCGTTGGAAAAGGTATCCCCAGGCATTGCCCAGCCCGCCCAACAATTGAGGGAAGCCAATCCCACGTCGCCCCGCGCGCCGACCAGGCGCCAGCAGGAGTTCTGCCCGCAGTGTTAGGCAAACGAGTTTGCGCAACTCCCCAAATCAAAACGAACCCATTCCTGTTGCAATCCTCATGAGAAGAAGCTCACAAATCCTCCCGCGTGCAGGGTAGCCCACAATATATTATTCAGCTGGAGAGATAATCCCCAACCATTACCCAGCCCGCCCAACAATAGAGGGAAGCTGCTCCCACGTCGCCGTGCGCGCCAACCAGGCGCCAGCAGGAGGTCAGCCATCGTTCTCGGCAAACGACTGTGAGCAAACTTGCGAATCACAACGACGCTTTTCCGATTGCAATCTTCGTGAGACGATGCTTGCAATTGTTTCCCGCGTGCAGAGTCGCCCACAGTAGATTATCCCACTGGAGAAATAGCCCCCGACCATTACCCAGCTCGCCCAACAATAGAGGGACACTTATCTCATGTCGCCGCGCGCGCCGACCAGGCGTCAGCAGGAGTTTTGCAGGCAGTTCGAGGCAAATGATTGTGAGCAAACTTGCGAATCAAAACGACGCAATCCCTATTGCAATCTGTATGAGAAGATGCTTGCACACTTTCCCGCGTGCAGGGCAGCCCACACTGGATTATTCGGGTGGAGAACGAACCCCCAAACATTACCCAGCCCGCCCAACAGAGGGGACACCAAATTCACGTCGCCGCGCGTGCCGACCAGGCGCCACAGGAGTCTTGCCAGCACTGCCTGGCGCAGACTCGTCCTGGACCCGGGGTGTCGTTCCCTCCTCTGCCTCCTTGCTGCGGTTGCTCTCCCGGGTCGTCCACCTTGCGGGCCATTCTGGCGAGTGTTGTACGCATGACGAGATTGGTATGCTTTTTTGGGCATGGAGCCAGCGACACTGGAGGCTTCGCATCGCCGGTCGCTGTTGTTTCACCCCGTTTTTGGCGATTCGCCTCTGACGTGCACGATTTGTTTGTTCTCTCTCTCTCTCTCTGCTTGGTGCAAACTCGCGAATCAAAACGAAGCAAATTCTTCGCGCGCCGGCCAGGCGCCAGCAGGAGTTTTGCCAGCAGTGTTAGGCAAACGAGTTTTAGCAAACTCGCAACTCAAAACGACGCAATCCCCATTGTAATCCTCATGAGAAGATGCTCACAAATCCTCCCGCGTTCAGGGTTGCCCACAAAAGATTGACCTGCTCCAACATTACCCAGTCCGCCCAACAATACAGGGACAACAATATCCGCCGCGACGAGGAGATGTTAGGTCCAGTCTCATTCGCCGCCGAAATTTCGGGGGGGGGGGGTCAAAACTAAAAGCCTCATGAGGTTACCTTGGAAGGCCACAGAGACCTGCGTTGTTTTTTTTCCACCGCTGGTGTTTTCGCGGGGTTCGGCCCCAGGGACCCCACATATCGATCCCGCGCGAAAAAATATGTATATAGAAACATGGGGTCTAGGGCTCTGGTCGTGATTTGTCACGATGCTTCAAATTTCTCACGACGTCGGATCTCAGTGTACCTTGGAGGGCCACAGCTGCCTGCTTCTAGAAGACGAGTATTTGGGGCCTGTGCCAGATGCTATGTTCACCTTCTAGCCACAGGCGTCTATGGACACATCGGGCGTCGGTACGCACATTGGCGTCGGTACGCACATTGGCACACCGCCACCCCACAGAGCCACGACCGCAGGTGTGGGGCTGACCCAGCGCGCAGGGCCTGAACGCATCACCGACGTCGACAGACGGGTGGAAGTGATAAGGGGCTGGTCTTCTCTGAAGGATCGGAAGTCCCCCGGCTTTTGAGAAGTTTGCCAAGCCTTCCCCGAAGGCACGCACAGCTTCTCAGGAGGCGTGAGGGTTTCTGAGAAGCCCCGCCGCCTTCTGAGAAGGCCTTCTCCTGCTCATCTCCACGTGGGGCTTCCCTGCTCCTGAGGAGGCCTTCTTCTTCTGAGCAGGCCTTCTCCTGCTCCTCCTCTCGCTCGCCGCCAGCAGCAGCCTCTGGGGGGGGGGAAGTCCTGGAGCCCCGCCCCTCGCAGCACAAAGGCTGCGGCGCTCGCGGCTCCTCGCGCAGAGGTCTTTGGGCGGGGCGCCGGCTGGGCGACTGGGCGGAGCGCGGTCGCGGTGTTCAAGCAGTGGCGAAGCGTCCCGGCTCGCTTACAGCCCCACCAAGCGGTGCTCTGAGATGTTGTTGTGGTTTCCACGAAATGCTCTTGGAACATTTCTGGCCGGGACTGTCCTGTTTTAACACATCGGGTCTATGTTCTAAGAACTTCGTTTGTGTTATCAGAACATGTATGGGCTCTAAGAACATTTTGTGGTAGGACTATAGGAATGCCGGGACGGTCGGTCCCTGCTCAAGGTGCCCCTGCTTTCTCTCACCGAGGATAAGAGATTCCCTAACCTGAACAACAGATGAAGGCGCAGCCTCACGGGAATTTCCGTTTTTTGCATAGGGGATCACAGGAGTCGGGCGCTTGGGTCCGACGCATCTGCAGAAGACCCCCCCCCCCGCTTATCCCTAATGTTCCTGGCTCTCCTAGCTTAGCCCCCCTCCCAAAGGGTTAGGGCTTCTGTTGGGGGGGTGTTCATCAAAGTCGCTGCTCCTCGCGCAGGAGTCACAGAGCCGGGCGGGAGAGGTTCCCTAACCTTTGCGATCACTCTCCTCGCCTCCCTCGCATCCTCACGATCTCACCAGGGTCCATTTTGATCCGATCGATCCGCTGATCGAGTCTGGCCCTCACGGTCCGCTTCGATTCCGATGGTCCGGCGATCTGATGCGGCACGATGTTTGCACGGCGGTGACCTGTCGCCGCCGATCCGACCGGATGTTTGACTCCGTGCCAGGGCGGCCTGTCCCGGCGCACCTCTCGAGGCGGCCCGACCTCCCAAGCCGAGCCGGACCGATCACTTCTGACCTGCCGCCGCGCAGCCATTTGCCTCTTTCTTCTGCAACCCTGAGGTTCTGGCGGCTCGCTGTGGTCGTCCCCGCCGGGCGTGCGGTCGTCCGGCTGCGGGCCACCAGGGCCCTCGCGAACCGAGTTGGGTCGAGATGGGGCGCAGCAGGCTGGGGTTTACAGGTCTATAGGGCTCAGTTCGTGATGCATCACGATGTTCTCCCAGTTGTTTTGAGACGTCGGATAACTCGGGGCGCCGCCAGCCGCGCCAGCCGTGCGAAGCCCCCCGGCGCGCCCTCCACACGCGGGCGCGATGTCCGCAGCGCAGGCGCAGCGCCCGCGCGGCGGGGGGCCTTGACGCGGTCGCCAAGAGAGAGTCAAGCAGAGGCGAAGCGTCCTAGCTCGCCCTTAGGCCCACCAAAGAATGTTCTGAAAACCTTTTGTGGCTCCCACGAAATATTCTCAGAACATTTCTGGCTGGGACTGTCTTGTTTTAACGCATGGGCCGCATGGGGGATACGTTCTAAGAACATTGTTTTTGTTCTTACAACATTGTTTGGGTTCTAAGAACATGTCGTGGTAGGCCTATAGGAATGCCGGGGCGGTCGGCCCCTGCTCAAGAGAGAGAGGTGGGTGCAGACGCCAGTCGTGCAGTCGTGCACGTCCCTCTACAGGAGGAATATTCAAAAATAGTTACATGATGGTCTGGGGACAATTGATTGTTTATTTTTGACACTTCAGGAGTATTTGTTTGACTTTCGTCTAAAATCCGCCTCCAGGGGGACATCCCGACCTAACTCTAGGCCTCCTTGCCCAGACCCCCTCAGGTAGTGAACAAATCATGACGGGAGGTTGTTCCACATTTTCGGCTTTTGGGGGCCCTCACCGGTCCTCGGGACCGTCATAAAACGACTCCGGATGAAAAGCCTGTCCAGGGGAATGGGTCGAGAACCCCAGGGGCCGACGTTATGAACAAGTCATGACAGATGGGGTCGGAGTAGATGGGGTCGGCGGATCGCGCAGCATCGCCGATGCATTGCCAATGCATCAGCGATGCGGTTCGATGTGGAGTCCAAATTTCTCCACGCCGACGTCGCCGATGCATCGCCCACGTCGGCGATGTATCGTAGATGCATCGCCGATGCGTCGCCGATGTATCGCCGATGTATGGCGATCTCCCGACCCCATCTACTGCGACACCACCTGGGAGGCCTCTAGAGGTCAAGCAGTGGCTTGCCTATGGGCCCGCCCAATAATGGTCTAAGAACCTTTGTGCGAACTGCGCGACATATTCTCAGAGCATTTCTGGCGGAGACTGTCTCTTATGTAAACACCTCTGCTTCGTGTTCAGACAATTATTTTTTGTCCTCAGACCATGTTTGGGTTCTCAGAGCGTGTCGTGGTGTAGGCCTATAGGAATGCCAGGACGGCCGGCCCCTGCTCAGTAAGAGGGGGGTGTATGGAGCGACGGCGCACACACGGCCCCCCCCATTGAGTCCTAGCTGGCCTAAGTCGGGCACGTCCCTCTACAGGAATAGTCAAAAATAGTGGAAACAATTGCACGACAATGCTGGATTTGTTCAGATGTTTGACTGAATCGCTTCGCTCATACCGCCGGCCCTGGAGCCCTCTTTAGGGCCTCTTGGGGGCCTCTCGGGGACCTTTTGGGAGTCTCTTGGGGCTCCTTGGCGGCGTCTTGGGGGCGTCAGGGCATCTTGGGGGGCTTTTGGGCGCCTCTTGGGGCGGGAGGGGGGGTAGTCGATTGCGGCTCCCCCCTTGGAGGCTACGATCCTCGTGAGGGATGTCGAAAAATGGCCCTCCCCTGGAGTGCTCTGGTGGCTTCTCCCGGGACCTTGTCGGAGTACTTTTCGTCCGGGGGCCCCCAGCGGCCGCTCCGCGCGCGCGAACTGGAAATATTGTTAACCAGTTGCCGGAGATCTCCGCACGCCTCGGGCCCGTTGGGCCGGCGAATCTTTCGCTCAAAATCCGCCCGAAGGCGGACATGCCTCAAGCAGTGGCGAAGCGTCCTGGCTTGCCTATAGCTCCACCAAACACTGTTCTGAGTCCCACGAAATGTTCTTAGAACACTTCTGGCCAGGACTGTCTTGTTTTGACACATCGGGTTCATGTTCTGAGAACACTGTTTCTGCTCTTAGAACATCTCTGGGTTCTAAGAGCATGTCGTGGTAGGCCTACAGGTTATAGCCGGGGCGGTCGGCCCCTGCTCAAATGCCCGACCTGAGGCTGGCCTCAACAGGCCCCCCGAGCAGCCTCGGGCGGCGCCCCGGCGTCATGGGGCGCCCTGCGCCCCAGCGTCGCGGGGTGCGGAGGCTGCCTCCCAGACTCTCTGGGGACTGTCGTCGGATGCTCTTTTGAAACTCTGCTCGATCAGGAGGGACAAAAAACACACGGACGCAATGAGTCGTCGATCCCCCCGGAAGGTATGGGGAAGTATGGGAAGTGGGGGGAGGACGAAAGCCCAGAAAATGTGGGAAAGTATGGGGAATGCTGTTATTTGTGTGTATTTATTCGTGTGTCTCAGGGCCCCTTGATTCGAATACTGCCCCTGTAGAGGGACAAGCCCGACTTCAGGCTAATCGACGCCGCAGTCGACGCGAAAGACGGGATCGAGGGGGTACACCAGGCCCCCGCTTAGTGGGCCCTGGAAACGACAGGGCCGGTTTTGTTACGGGTTCCGTTTTGCCGTTTTTGTTGCCGGTGCCGACGCCGTTTCTGTTGCCGGTTCCGTCGCCTTTTTTGACCGGGGCCCGCTCCGGCTCCGATCCTGGAGCCGTTTTTGTTGCCGTTTCCGGTCGCCGTTTTTTGCCGTTTCCATGTTCAAGGGACACTTTCTCGGACACGGTGAAAAAACGGCCGTGCCGTTTCCGGGGCCTCTAAGGTGGAGACTGCTTCCCAGACATGATCGCGTCGAAGTGAAATCAGGACGGGCGGCTTTTGGCCATTCTCGGCCTATGGGGGCTCTCGCCAGGCCTCGGGGCCGTCAACAAACGACTCGGGGTGAAAAGCCGGTCCCAGGGAACGGGTCGGGACTTCCAGGGACCCCGTCCTGAACAAAAAACAGGACGTCGCATGTGTGGGCTGGGGACTGGGGGCGATCTGGGAGACCTGTTTCAAGAGAGGCAGCAAAAAATCCGGACACTGGACGAGTCGTCGACTCCCTGGAAGAATTTTGGAAAGCATGGGAAGTGTGGGGGGGGGGGGCAAACGAAGACCGAGAAATTTCGGGAAATATAGGGAACCTTGGGATCTGTGACAAGTTTGTTTGCGCGTCCCATGGCCCGTTCACTGTCGAGGCCAGCGAGGACTGCCTGGGGGGAGGGTTGTTCCTGCGCCGCTTGGGGCATTACCCGTAAAGGCAGGGAGGGGGGGTCGGAGGGCTGCAGAAAAAAGCGGCCCCCGGGCAGATGGACAGCCCGACACGAGCTGCCCCCCCCCCCCCCCAACGACTTGGCATCTCTCGGCTGTGTGCCCCGTCTCACGGCGAGGACCCTCAAGGAGCATCTCTTGGATCTTCCCAGACGTGGTCGCGTCGTTAGACAATCAGGATGGGAGGTGTTTGACAAATATCGGCCTCGGGGGGCCCTCGCCGGTGCCTCGGTGCCGTCAGTAAACGGCTCAGGACGAAAAACCGGTCCCAGGGAAAGGGTCGGGATTTCTAGGGACCCCGTATCGAAAAAAACATGACGTCGCATGTCTGGGTCTTGTGTGCGAAGCACTACAAGATCGCATGATATCAAAACATGTACGGGGAATGCACGTCCGAGCGATGGCGAGTCGAGCAGCGCCCGAGCACGCTGCACACTGATGTCTGCCCTGTCGAGTTCGTCTGTAGGGCGTTCGCGAGGTAGCGATCCTCGTCCAGCATGGCCTTGGCCTGAGCGACCAGCGCCTGGGCGAAGAAAATCATATTGTTCACCTTCTGTGTCGTCGTTACGATCGCGGCCAGCTTCTTGGCATCGGACACCTGTGAAGGAGGTTGGGGGGACCAGCTCGGGGGGCGGGGAACACCAATCTGCATTCGACGATGCATCGCCGATGCCTCGGCGATTGGCCGCCGATGGCGAATCGTCACGTTCCTGGGCTGGGCGGGGCTGTCAAGCCCCCATCGGCGATCAGTGGGCGATTGGGGGTCTACGCGTCTTACTATACTGTCCCGTGGCGGTTTCGGACTCGCAATCCTATCCACAACCGTCGCCTAACCCTCGGCATCTCACTACGAGCTGGGATTCCGGGAACCTCAGCACGCGCGAAGCGCGCGCGATGGTTCTAGTACTAGGATACAGAAACATTCGCAGGCAGCGATTAATAACACGGAAAGAGCGAGGTACGAGTGATGACGTCTTGGTGGGGCGAAGCTCTTTTTAGGGAGGGTTTCCAGGGTAGGGGCGTAGTGCGGGCGACTTGATCTAACACGCCTTGGAGGGCCAGAGCGGCCCAAGAGGAGCCAGAATGGCCCAAGATGCCCCCAAGGCGGCCAACGAGAGGTCCGAGACGACCCCGAGACGGCCGAAGAGTGTTCCAGGAGACCCTGGACCGCCAAAGAGCGTTCCGAGATGGGTCAAGATGGCCTCACAGATGGTCCGAGGGGGGCCCAAGAGGGCCCAGGAGGACCCTCGAGGCCGCGGGAGGCCAAACACATTCATGTTCCCATTGTTTTTTTAGGTGTTTAGGGTTCTCGCCTTTTCGGGCCTCCGACGGCCCAAGACGGCCCAAGAGACCCAACAGATCGCCTCAAGACAGCTCAGGAGGCCCCCAAATAGGCCCCCAAAGGTCGCCCGTCGCCCCAAGAGAGCTCCAAGACGGCCGAAGAGGTTCGGATATAACTCTTGGGAGTCACATCCTGACTTTGCTCTGGTCCGGATTCCGTTGCAATTCGGTCTAATCCCGTTGAATCTTGACTCATCCGGTTGAGTCCCGCCTCATCCGCGGCCTAATCCGACGTACCAGCCCCCCAATGGAGCTTAATTCTCCTTCATCTTTCCGACGAAGACCTCCCAGTAGTTGGCTACTAAAAGAGGACCCCAAGATTGTCCAAGAGGGCCCCAAGAGGCCCGCAATACGGCCCCAAGAGGGTTCCAAGAGGCCCCCAAGAGAGCCCCAAGAGGGCCAATGCCCCCCAAAGACGCCCCACGAGGGCCCAACAGGCCCGCCAAGACTCGAAAGGGCCCCCAGAGGACCCCCATAGAACGCCTGAGAAGACATATTTATGGATTTTCGCAGGAGGCTTCCCAGAGAGCGCCCCGAGAGTCCCCAGAGACCCCCTCAGAGCCCCAAGACAGCCGAGGTCCCTCAAGACGGCTCACGAGG